TCTATATCTTATTAGCAATTATGATATTAATTATGAATATAATCATACAATTCACACAGTGGATTACCTATTTTATACTCAAATTAAATTACAAACTTCATTTATTTACAATTATTAGTAATTTTTTTCCTTTTTTTCTATTCCTATGGTTCTATAAAAATGTATTTATTTGAAAAATCTAAACAGACCCAAAACAATAATCAACATTATTATTTTAATGCATCGACTTAATATCCAAGAGGGATGGTAAAATAATTGGACAAACGTTCAATTACATTAAAAAAACGAAATATTCGATAAATGTAAAGAAGATAATATTGAAAAATATAAAATATTACGCTCTATTCGTATATTATGGGTTTGACGTGTATTATGTACACTTAACCCATAATGCACATGTCTATAATATAATCATTTTTGTAACGTAATTGAATATTTGCTATAAATATTCAATTTCGTTCTATAATATTAATTTTCCATTATCCTACCGTACAGCTATTACCTACCATAATAATTTTGCTGTGAGTATACATACATTAGTTAGGTATATAATACTAAAATTATATTAAATTTGAAATGTCATATGCATCGACATATCGTCATCGACCGTCTGACATATTATAAGTGCTATTACGAACTAGTAGATGGGTAGGTATTTACTTACAATAATATGCCTGCTGGAAGTGTGCATTGTTGTATATCGTACAAGACTCAGTGGCATTTGAGGAACATTATGTTTCCATTTAAAAACGCTTCAGTGGAAATATTAATTATAAATAAGCCATACGGTGTGCAGGAGGGATGGAGCTGCAGTGGTCGATCACCCCCCCCCCCGTCGAATCACCCTCGAAACCCCGTGTGTATCCTGGATTACAAGCTTCGCGCCAATATGCCACAAAACAGACATGAAATTAAATATTATATCAGTCTATATATATATAAGTATCAAGGCTGATACACACCATCGCGACGTTTTAATGTAAAATGTGGGTTGAGAACAGAACAACAACTTTTTTTTTGAAACTTAAAATGTTACATTTCATTCCCGAACATTAGGAACTGAACAAATAAGTTTAATACGTTTATGTTGAGTATAACCTTAACAAGAATAATATCGTATTATTTGTTCGCTGGCATAAACGTACAAAGAACAAAAACATATTATGTATATTAGTTCGAGAGCACAAACGTACAAAGGACAACATGATGTTTATTTGTTTACGAGCAAAAGCACATAAATAAGAAATACACATTATTTGTTAATTGTTCACAAACCTTAACATACAACAATGAAATTAGTAGTAAATAATTGTAATTAAGAAAATTAATTAATTTTATATGAAGCAAAAATATTATATATTTAATACAATAAATCGAAATAATTAATAAGACACAGCTACTCGTATATAGGTAACCTACTACCTATACCGAAATTAAGCTACCTACTAAAAATTACGACTGAGACATTCAAATACCAATGTGTTCAAACATTGAATATTATCTAAAGTATTAAATATATTCTTTGTCATATTAATACAATATAAACTAATAATTTAATATAATTTTGGTTTATTCCCTAACAAAAAAAAAATTCAACAGATTATTTAAAAAGTGATATTGCGTATCAAATACTCTTATAGCTGCATGCCTGCATATGTATCGTGTCTTGCATAAAATTTAATTGCAACATTATTTATATTGCATTTGACTCAGTCAAACAATTCTCTACGTGTATCTATAATATACTAGTGGGTTATAACTTATGAGTCATGAACAACTAACTATTATAGTATACCAACATTCATAATTAAGTCCGGAAACTTATACATCGACGGGGAAAATATTAATATTATGAACCAGTTTTTGATCCTTCAAGCCTAGTGGTAATGAATTATGATCAACCATGATTGTAATATTCAAGAATTTGAAAATATCATGGTGTTTGAATACACTGAAAAACTTCAAAAATCAAAATTTGAGTAAAATATTCAGTACCTAGTAATAAAAAACATGGGGGTGAGAATGCTTGGTGAATCACCCTGCATATACCATGTAAATATATTATTGTCCGATTTCAGTTGTATAATACGTCTGGCTTTGTAAAATACCACGCACGCATAATATACACTACGCCGGTGAAATATTATGCAGTCGGTTGAATAAATTTAATGTTTATAACAAACAAAATTACGACTCCTAATGCAGAGCCTAACGCATAGCAAGCGTACTATAATACTATATTCTGTATATTGTGTTGATGAGATTGAGCGGATTGGTGTTATGTAATGTGGGTGGGGGAGGGTTAGATGAACCGGTCTTCTGTTCGACCCTCTCCCCTGCATAGGCTTATATACAACAGTGAATAAGACCAGAAACCAAACTAATAATAATAATAATAATAATAAATATAAAGTAATAAATCTTAATAATAAGAGACTTTTGAACGAGAGAATTCAACTCAGAGTTTTTGTAATATTTTTCCCAATTGTATAACAGAAAAAATGTAACGTGACACAAAACATTTTGTATAGAAGGATTTAGATGAAAACAATTTAGAATATATTTTCATCTCGCCGGGTTTAAATAAATAAAACGGTTATTCAGCGGGGTACCTAACCTAAGCTTCTGCAGGTATCCAAACAATTGTTTTTTAAACACGACATCGGTGACTTTGATTGTTAGAGCCAGATTTATTTTATTACATAATGCGCCAACATATTATTCGAACCTTTCGCCGGCCTTATAAGCATCTGCCGCCCGCTTTTCCTACACTTTTCGTCAACAAATATTCTGTGATATTTTTCAAATATTTGGAAGAAAAAAATAATTGTGCTTATATAGTTCAGCGTAATATTTTTAAGATCCATTATCTGGAGAACAATTGTGTTTGTAGTTTGTATTATTTATTATAATAACTACCTTAAATCTAAAAAGTGTACAAGTCCTGATATCTACACAATATTGCACTGCTATGCTTACAAACACACTAGACGATTATAATGATTATTAACATACCTGAACACCTAATATCTATTATAACAGAATAACATTCTAATAATACTATAATAATCACGATAGTGATCAAAAAATAAATTATATTATAATACCTAAATATGTTATATTTGTATCAATAACGCAATAAAATAATTAGGTGTATTTAATATAATATAAGTATTGAAATCATTTATAATGAAGAAATATCACCAAGCTATACAATTTTTTTTAAAACATGAAAGAACATAAACAAAAAAATGAAAAAATAGTGGTTGCTATAATCTTTGGTGGGTATGCTTAATAATAATATTTATACACGAAGTGGGCCGTGACGCTCGTAATTGATAATAATAACTAGGTAGACACTTATATTGTACGTATACGTTAAATATAAATTAAGTTTTTATAGTTTGTTAATTACTATAATTTATTGTAACCACATCTGCGGATTACGATTGCCATACAAAAAAATTCGGAACATAATATTATAACTTAAATAAATGTATATTTACTACTTATTTCCGATTCAATATTTCATAGTAACATTATTGATTATTATTGTAGTTTACACTGCATGCTTTACGTATGAATCAATGAATATTTTTAATACCATTGAGATTTCCAATTCAAAAATAAAGTAGTTAAAGAGTACACATTTTAATAAATTCAAATATATTATATATTCTTTCATAATATTTTATGCTGAATTTAATTAACATATTTATATTTTGAACACAACTAAAATAAACTATAATAAATTTAATCAATGCAAATTGTGTGTACAAGTACGTATGTAGGTAAAATAATATAAATATTTGTATAATATTATTACATTTTAACGTATTTAATATGAGCACATAAGAAGGAATGTTTACTTTTCCACAACATAAATTATATTATAAAAACACACCGTATAATATTATAATGCATAATACACAATTATACATGTAATGATGATCAATTATCAAGTTTAAATCATTATTACACACACCTATCAAAAAAAAATGTACATGTTTACACTTTCCTGTTTTTAGGTTTCCAAGACAACGAGTGGGACAATTAGTTTTACAGTTATGTGTATTTTTTTCGAGATTTCACATTGCAATATTATTCTATGATAGGTACCTTTGAGTACATTTAAAAACTCAGTTTCGTAAAGCAACTCTCTCGATTGAAAATCACACATATAGATTACATTTTAGACGAGACGATGTGACCAGTGTAAAAACCCGTAAAATTTAAAGAGAACAAATATTTATCATTTTAGTGTATAGAACTGAAGACCGAGGTTTGCTGGCATCAGATTTTAAATTTCTTACACATTTAAAGACACCCTAACTGCAGGTGGCCAATCCGACTTTGTTGAAACATCCTTTTATATACGGGTCAAAACCGGTTACGAAACAAGTGATATTTCTCAAAAAAAAAGTTTTTGTCAAATGACTAGAGAAACGTTAACAAGAGCATCTGCCATTGACGATGCGTAAAATTCAAAATAGAGGTGCGCAAACCTGTAGTCGTTTTCTCCTATAACATTACAGCGATCTCGGGTGGACGGAAAACAGAATAGGACAAACCCCTTAATTGTATAGTACAATTCAAAAATAGTTATTTCGCGGTTGGCGTAAAACCAATTATATAATATTTAATTTTATGGTGAAGTACCTCTAATATGGTTAATATATTGTTGTATTATAATACTATAATGTTATTGAGACTGGAAAGCGTGAGTTTGTGCTTGGTACGTTTTTTCGGCGCTCGAGCACCCCTAATATGATCAGGTAAACATCAAATCCAGGCCCGGATAAAACCAGTTCGGTACCGAGCTCAACTCGGTGGGCCTGACACCTGACTACATTTTAATAGGTAAATCAATGAGTTATAAAATTAATGGTCTAACCCATTTCAACGGGTTTAAGGCTGGTAAACGTTCTAAAATCCGCCAAAAGCCTTAAGAGGACCGCCACTGCGATTACCCTTAACCTGTTCTAGCAGCTGTGTGTTACCTGAACTTAGAACAGGGGTGGATGATCCAGGCACCCAGGAGTCGTTGCCTGAGCCGTTCCTTGAGCACGGCCTTCTCACTGCCGTAAATCTTCATCGACAACCGGTTCATGGACGGTTCGAAGACTGTCCGCAATCCGGACAAGACGGTGGTCCGGGGCTGCTTGGGTGAGGATTTTTCATCGTCAGCCAGGCCATTCGTCGCCGTGACAGTTACAGCGGCGGCGGTGCGGGTGCCATCGGAGTAACCCGCGTATTCCGGAAAACCCGGATAAGCTGCGGCGACGCTCATGCCGCCACCGGTTGCAGTAGTGGCCACTGTGACGGTGGTTGGTGAACGTGGTGACGCAGTGTTGGATGTGTTTGTGATACAACGGCGGTGACGAAAAATTGGTGATGTTGTGACGAGCGCGTTACACAAAAACGACGCACGAGAGGCGAGCGCGCACGACTACGAGTACGTTACAAGCGCAACGGACACGCGCGTTCGCAGTACACTGCTGCTGTCCGTTCGGCTACCGGTTCGGCGGTTCTTCCTAATCGTTATCTGTACCGCTGTTCCACTCCCCCCGGCTACCACCACCACTACCATTGGTACCGCCCGTCACCGACGACGAACCGGTTACCGCCGACCCTTAACCCACTACAATAATATTGTATCAGATACGATAATGTCATATTTTAATAATATTATTATTATTATTACGAGCGCGAGCGATAAAACCATTGTCGCCCACGCTGGACACTCGGGGGCGGCATGCTCCCCTGGACGAAGCTCATCGCTAGTGCCCGAAGAATTTTATTATTACTATTATTTATATTATGCACTAATACTCTTAGTAAAAATGATAATATAAATAATTATTAAAATCGAATTCGCGATCCGTATGACGTATTGACTATACCGTCGTCTAGCTAGTACGACTTTACACAGTGGCGGATTCTGTAGCATTGGGATAACTGTACGTGTTGGTCCACTAAATTAAAGAGAAGTCACTTTAAAGTTAAAAACAACATAGATTTGGTTTATTCAAATGATTAAACTGTTATTTATGATCCTATTTACATACAAAAATTTACATTTTTATTACTAACAACTAAAAATGTACATAAGTATCAGATATATATCTAATGAACAATTAATACAAAATACTTCGTCTTATTTGTGTATCTCGGTTTTATTGTACCCTAGTTTAGATATAAAAGCTCTAAAAGCTCTTGGTATATTTCCTCACGTGGTGAAAACTACAACTCTCTAAAATGTCTTGATATCTCCAAGAACAATTTATGACATTTTCCTAAAAATCGATCGAATTGTTTTGAGTCTATAGGCCACTAACATATAGATGAATCGTTTTTTAAATAAACTCACATATTTGTTTTAAGATATAATTTGTAAATCCTAATACTTAAGAGTCAACTCGTTCGAATGTTCGATTATATAATATAATACAAAGGTTTTCAGTGTTATTATGTAGAAAAAAACTACTGGACCGATTTTCTGAATGTTTGTACAATTATTCCTGATTTCCTGAAAAGATCAATGATAGTTTCCATACCAATTTGAACCCCCCCTATGACCCTACCTAAATAAAGTTAATAGATAAGACAAAATTTTAATTCATTTTTTATTTAAATGGTTTCCATTGGTTATGTATTGTATTATATTTTGCAATTTAGGCTAATATTAGAGTTATTTTGTAGAAATTTGTAGAAAAAATATACGAGTATATTTTTAACCAATAATTAAAATTAATTTTCAATTGAATAGTGAACAGTGAAGATAGCCTATATAAGTACTCTATTATTTTAAGGTTCTAAAAAATTAAAAAGCCTATTTCATCAATTTCGGGTTAGATGATCTGCTGACCGGGCTCCTCCCATCATAATATAACCACACCTAAATTTGCTTTATAAATTATTTAAGTCGTACCTCGAGTAATCATAAGTTTGAAAATTATCAAAATATGATAATACTATAATATATCAGTTGGTTTAATAGATAGGTATAATAATTCAATTGTGTATGGAATTTTTTTTAAGTTTCTATATTTCAAAATGGAAAATTATGTAAGTATGATGTGTTGGTAATAATGAAAAATGTTCCAGTTATGCAAAAACATTTCGCCTGATCGGAATAATTATCGATTTGAATTCATATGTGTTGTAAATTGTCACTAGTAATTATTCTCTGACCAGATTGTTTAATATTTTAATCCTGTTGCATCTTATATTTCTACTTTCCGGCATATTGTATGAGTAGTCAATTTCCAAATAAAAATGTATAGTAAATAATAATACAAAACAAATTAACAAATATGAATAACACTAGTGATTTGGCGCCAACATTTGGAATGAGAAAGATTATCAAATGTATGTAGTTGTAGACTTGTAGTGCCTCCACAAAGAAAATATTGTGCTATTTATCTATACACTTGGCATATTGCTTATACATAAAGAACATATACAACATTTCAAACAGAGAAAGCTATACCATTCTCCAAATTAGATTTAGAAATAATCCTATACATTCATACAATAGCTGCATATTTATGCAAAAACGATTGGTAAAAATAAAAATGTAAAATTCAGCTGCAGTATAGGACGCTAGATAACTGAACCCGATATTCACGTAAATAATGTAATAATACTCTATGCATATAAAAATAACGTTTTCAAAGAGTTGAATTTTCTGATGAGTCAAAATGAGTTTCAGCAAATAGTTTAGAAATTAAATGAGCTGGTTACGTATGTACGTTACCTAATTGTTCATTGTTGTAGTATATCAAACTTATATAAGATAAGTATAAGTAAGCAAATGGTATTTTTCACCGACAATCATCAGGTTTCTTCCCTAGTCATCATAAAATGATTTTATTCAAGTTTTAAAGGTACAAATGTTTTAATACATAACAAAAATAGCTAAACTAGTATAATAATAAATTACATCTTAAAAAAAAAAAATTGAAGTTAACTCATGTAGGTAATGCCTGGACTTTAGAGTATACCAGTATTGAATAGTTGATATAAAAATAAGAAGGTTTAATTAATAATAAATTGAAAATTCACTCGACTATCTCCACAGTATTATCATTGATAATTAAAATACATGAGTATTGACAGTTTTGCAAGGTATATTTTTAGTTCAAGAGTCAAGACTACTATTCTAAAAAAAATAGTATTGACATTACTATAACTAGTCAGATATTTCCAAGATTTCAATGAAGACCCATATTATATTAATATATCATGATAACTTGTCAATAATCATAAATTAAATTCTTAAACTTATAATTATTTCAAAATCACTTATATTATTTGTTCAACAATTTTCCAATTTAATTGCATGAAAACTACTCCACTAATACAGTGGAATCATTGTAGGTTTCATAAGCTTCAGTGGTATTGATAAATACGTACTTTTATAGTTTTGTGCACGTTATGTAATAAAATATATCCTTATTAGAGGGAAAATATTCAATGCTTGGGTGGAAATATCCAACCATAATATTATATTATTATGTTTTCAACTCAATATCCGTAAATAAAAAAAAATAGTTCTACTGATTTTCATTTTAAGGTTGAAATTTTTAAATAAAATGGAAACAACAGTAACCTTACCAATTCGAAATGAAAATATGAACAAAAATTTATAGAAAAAATATTATTGTAACTAATTTTATATTATTAATTAATTTACACAAAAATTTATTTTTAATGCTATACAGTAAACTCAAATTTATACTCATAATATTAAAGTGAATTCGATGAGACGATTTTTCAGTTCTGACTTTTTCAGCATAAAATTATGTAATACCTTTTTTCATTTTTGTTAAATATATATATATATATATATGTACCAACAGATTGTAAAAAAAAAAATATTTATATTTAAAAAAAAAAACAGTAAAATACCGGCTGAATAAAATATCACAAAATAAAATACCACGCGTTTAGTAAGTAAATTATCGTTTATTACCTTTACATTTTTTATAATAAATCAATGCTTCATTGTTTTGAATGGTAGACAAATAAATAATTACCGTCCATCAATAGATCACTGAGCTACTGTTACCCGCCCACATCAAGTCCAGTAACGGTGCAAAATAATTTTTTTGAGAATAATATAGTCTCACGATGGTTAATTGTATTCTACATTATTTATAATACCTATATCCAAAAAAAGGCGGTAGGTGGTAAAACTTTAAACACCAAACAGCCCATAACGACGAACAAATAATTCAAATAACCGTTCCGCCATTTACAGAAATTGTAGTATATGATCCTATAGGCTATTATCCAATTACTTTTGTTTATTTATTGACCCACAGATTGATTATAGAACATTTGAATATGATTTTATGTATCAAGTGCTTGACTTGGATTATAATTAGTTGAGGTACCTAGATGAGAGATAAACAAATTGGTAAACAGAAAAATTGGTAAGGTATATTCTGTTTTGAATAAAAGAAATGAAATAATCGGAATATTGGTAGTACAAAATATTTTATTTTCAGTGATTCAAAAAATGTGCAAGAAATTAAATTAAGAATAAACTCACAATAGTAATATAATAGAAAAAATATGTCCAAAATTAAATTAAATATATATCCCCTACCTAATTAATGTACCTGATATAACCATAGGGGGCTTGTGCGCCACACCCTCTTTGTAGCATTCTATACATACTACCATAAACTAACAAACGTTTCATAACTATTATTATACTTACTTAAGTTTCGACCATAAACGTTCGTAGGTAATATACTTGTGCAGGCAATTGAGGTAATACTATATTTTTTTTTATGGATGAATAATTAAGTATTGTTTAACATATTTTAATTAAGTTAGTTAGTGCCTATTTGCTATTTATATACATTATATATACATGTATATCTATGTACCTATAATTTTTTTCTAAAATGAGCCCTGAACTCTGTTTATTACAAAAAAAAATTTAAGGACTAAACTGACACCGCAGGCATGGCTTATAACCTCTCAACTTTTCAAATTTACAAATTAGGTACATTAAACATTGAAAACAAACTTTTTTTATTTATTTAAACTTAATAAACTCCATAGATGAGAATATATATTATTTCTAGCATAGTCTTCTCGTTTTTATCTTTCATGGGTACAGAGTTTTAGATATTTATGGTGATATGCCTTATAGCCTCATTTATTATATTATTATACATAATTATTACATAAAAAACATGTATAACTGTATCAGATATCAATATATTTACAAATATTTTGTAAAACATTTTTTTATACACTAATATATTATATTAAAAAATGTACCTATTAACTTTGTAATTTTTTTAAAAATCTTAAATAAATTATTGTTCTACGCATTCTAATTAAAAATAAAAAGTAGGAGTATGCTTAAATATTCAAAAATATAGTTGAAATAGTCAGGCCTACCCACAAGTCAAATACTGAGATACCTACATGACACAATTTTTTTTTAAAAAACGCACACATATTATAATATCCAAACCAACATTTAC